TTGAAGTCGAGATTTCTTACATCAGGTGACGTTGGACGCGCGGCCGCCGGAGGAGGCGCGAGGGGATCAGTTTGAGACCGCCGCCCCCATTCGGGTGTCGGAGGAAGAGGCAAGCGTGATGCCGTTTGACTACGCCGCCCTTGGGGAGGAGCCCGCTGAGGGTCCAGTGACGGACGGCCGCCATCGAGACTTTCTTTATTACTTCTCAACGCCAGCATCACCGACAAGGACCCCCAGCCCATCCGCCTCGTCCAGGGACACCACCAGGGAAGGCTCCGCAGACGACGGCCTTGCCGGCACCCTCGACGCATCGCCCGTCAGTACCAACGGGATGGAACTCGGAGGCTCTGAGGATCCCTCGTTCGCCCCGGGAACTAAGACACTGGAAGCCAATGTCCCCACAAAGGATGACGAGGGGTCCACATCCGGCCAAGACCACGCCGAGATGGAGGAGGAGCCAGCCGCGCTGGCACCCACGCCGCCCACCCCTGGCGGCTTGAGTGGCGAGCAGCTGTCAGGAAACGGGGAGGCTCAGCCGGACCCTCAGCTCCCTCAGCCCGCCAACCTGCGCCAAGAGGAGTCTACGTCATCGTTTAGGGCCCAAGAAAAACTCTCCACCGTCACTCCACCCTCGCACACTGTCAGTAACCACGCCGTCCCCCAGTGGGCGCTGAGCCCTGACCCGGCCGCCAACCCGACCCTGCCGGAGGACTTCCTGGACTACGACAGCAAGATGACTCCCCAGCTGGTGGAGTCGCGGCTCCCCTGGCCCGAAGAGACTATGGACCAGCCTGACCTGCTGGAGGCCACTTTTATCAATGTCACAGGTAGAGAGACCCTCAATTATTTTAACGCCCCCATTTCCATGACAGGATTATTATGTCGAAAGAGTCATAGTCTGTCGATAAACTCTTTTTGAGTGCCTCCTTCAAAATAATGTGCCAGTCGAAACCTAGGATGACTTTTTGCACCAGTGTTAAATGTAGCATCAGGAAGAATAGTTCAAATATTTTGTTGGGTCTCCATCGTCCCTCGGTGGTGATGACACGTCATGATGTCATGTTATGATGATGTCACACAACCACAGACGTCCAGCCATGCTCTGTGAACGTCTGTCAAAATGGCGGCTCCTGCTACCGGAGAGGCTCAGAGAGGGTGTGCGCCTGTGCACCAGGATACACCGGGGGGCGCTGTCAAACAGGTGAGCCTTTTTAACCTCGAGATGACGGGCCGACCCAAAGGCCAATCGGCGGCCTGTGGGAATGACAATAATCCTAACGATTAATGTGCTTTTTGTCTCTCAAGACGTTGACGAGTGCCAGTCCAACCCATGTCTCAACGGCGCCACCTGCCTGGACGCGGTCAACGGCTTCTCCTGCCTGTGCCTGCCCAGCTACACCGGAAAGCTGTGCGAACAAGGTCAGCTTTAGCATTAGCATTAGGATTAGCACAACAAGGGAGAGCATGTATATATGTGTGTGTGTGGGGGGGGGGGTATGCATCCATGTGAGAGAGCGAGATCCTTAGAAAGTATTGTGCTGTACAAGTAGGTGTATGTGTGTGTTCAGCGCCAGCTACACCGGAAAGCTGTGCGAACAAGGTCAGCTCGAGAATTAGCATTAGCATTAGCACATGAGGACAACAAGGGAGAGCATGCATGCATGTGAGAGAGAGATCCTTAGAAAGTATTGTGCTGTACAAGTAGATGTATGTGTGTGTTCAGCATAATTGGCGAGGGTCTTGGGGGTGTTTTGCTCGTCAGCTGCGGTCAGGCGTGGTCCCCCGAAGATGGCTCCCGCCTCCATTTTTGTAGTGTGAGTCAACAGCACCGACGTCCTCTCAGGGCTCACGTTTCCCTCGATATGAACTCGAAAGATCTGAAGCCCCCCAACTCCCAAGAATCCAATACAATACATGCTGGTTTATGTAGCGCTTTCACAACAGCAAGAAGTCAAAACATCGAAAGCCCCCAACTTCATGTTTAATCAAGTGTGACAGTCGTTTGAAGAACTTGTCCAGCTCATTATTGTCTTCCACAGTGATTCACTCTGGTGGAATGCGATGGGAACAAGATAGCTCACACTCTGTGCGCATGCGACAAACCGTAATTGATGTTGTCTATATTGCATTTATTCAACGAGAGGTGTTAAATTGAATGGATGTTGGCTTTAAAAGTTGGACATAAACACAAACTGGATACCGTGAGCTGAGGGTGCTTGGGTGGCATTGAGAGCGGTTGTTTGAGGGCGTGCACGTTTCCTCGCGGTTCCTCATCACGTCTTGTCCCGCTCCCGCAGACTCGGCGTCGTGCGGCTCAGGGTGGCACAAGTTCCAGTCTCACTGCTACAAACATTTCCCCCAACGTCGCACTTGGGACGCGGCCGAGCGGGAGTGCCGCCTCCATGGCGCTCACCTGGCCAGCATCCTGTCGTTGGAAGAGCAACTCTTCGTTAACCGTGAGTCACGCCGGCCCACACTAAAACTTTGTACGCTCCAACCCGGAACTTGGACTTGATGTGTGCAGGTTTGGTCGACGACTACCAGTGGATCGGCCTCAACGACAAAATGTTTGAGGGAGACTTCCGCTGGACCGACCACAATCCCATGGTGAGTTTCGTCAGCATGTGGCGACTGCTACACGGAAATCCGCCTGATAAGTTGCGTTGTTTTTCCTTTTACAAGACGGAGTTGAAACAAAACAAGTGATGCTCTTATCATGCCTGAATGCCTCACTGGTGCCATCCTATGTTTACTCAGCGTACTGCAAGTTGTCGAGTGACGGCAAAGGTTGCCCACTTGGACACCAGGTCAAAAATGGATTATCATGCCCACTGCTTTGATTGATACCTTAGTTGTCATTTATGTTAACATGAAAAAAAAACATGGAAGGGAGGCTGAATGACGGACATCAAATTATTAGGAACTGCTGAACAAGGATGACAATGATGCTGATGGCGTTGAACTGTGCGTGCGCAGCAATACGAGCACTGGCGTCCCAACCAGCCCGACAGTTTCTTCGAGACGGGCGAAGACTGCGTAGTCCTCATCTGGCACGCCGCCGGCCAGTGGAACGACGTGCCGTGCAATTACCACCTGGGCTTCACCTGCAAGAAGGGCACAGGTGGGACGTCTCCGCCTTTCGCTGTCCTCCGCCAAACCCCGCCTCACCATCTCAATTAACTCTCCCTCGCAGTGTCATGCGGGCCGCCACCAGCCGTGAGGGACGCCCGCGTGTTCGGCGCCCCACGCTCCCGCTACGAGGTCAACGCCTTGACGCGCTACCACTGCAAGCCGGGCTTCATCCAGAAACGGACGCCCACCATCCGCTGTCGTCCCAATGGGCGATGGGACGTCCCCAAAGTCATCTGCATCAGCCGTGAGTTACCCCTTCCCCCCCGACCGCCTTCTCAGCCTGTTTTCTGCCTCAACTTGGAGTACAGAAAATGCACCCACCTTCACATTTTCGATATTGGAAATATCCTGCATTCTCATTGCCGTAGCAATAGAGGTCATTTGTACTTCCTCTTAGCGGCCACCTATCGCACGCAACTTTCGGTCGTCACCCACCGCCACGTCCACCACGCGACCAGTCACCATGACGATCGGCGGCAGAACTACAACGGCCAGCAGAGCTTCCTGAACCCTCTGCTGGATCTGGAACGATGACTTTTCACACACGGCTGCTTTGAGATGCTCGCTCCAGTGTACTTCGGGATGTCGCCTTTTGCGACTTTTATTTTGACTCCAGGAATGCTGCGGGGTGCGGAACGAGCCTCCCGAGGCCCCACGTCAACCAATCAGGCGCCGCCGAGGAGACAGCCCACTCACGCGCCTCTTGTGTAAATTTCATTTGAAAGTTGCCATCAATGTTTTGTTTTGTGACATAAAGGATATGAAGCCATCCAAATTTAACTTATTATGACTGTGACATGTGAATAATAACTCATTTTCAAATGCAAGATGTTAACGTTTCTCCGAGTTGCATGGCTAGAAATCTGCAAGTGGGACGTCAATAAAGTTATGACATGAATTTCTGGCTCTTCTTTTCATTTCCACAAATCGGGAAGACGACCCGCCATTATCGGAATATTCAAAGAATCGATTATTCTATTGAATAATCAAACACAATTTTATTGGGCTTTAAAGGACACTGCAAAGCCATTTTGCTATGACTGTTTATCAACCAATTATTGCTGTTTTTTTGCTTTTCTTTCGTAATTTAAAACCATTGTGCAACCAAACAATTGTGCAATGAGAGGGATAGATGATGTGCTCACCAAATTGTATTTAATTTGTAATTTGTAAAATATCAGATTCAATGCCTAAGTGGCGTTTCACAGATATCTGACGGGGCTATAGCGCCCCCTACCATCAGTGTAGCGCCACGCCCGCTACTAAAATCCACACACACTTGAGTCCCGCTTGCATCTTTATTCCGAAGAAAGTCGGAACAGATTTTTGTTCCCTCCGGACGCTTCGTCACAACCCAAAAATGACAAAAACAGAATATGGACATTAAAACAAAGAAAATCTAACTACATTCTAACATGTATCCAAAAAAAAATGAGCATAAATAAGAGAGAAACATTACACCGTTGCACCTTAAGTAACAACAAGAACACACAATCAAAGGGGAAAATAAAGAGAATGTAACTGTTCTTGTGGCATTTGAGTACAAGCAGGTAAGTGCCCAAAAGGAAGAGTTGCGAGAAAGCCCACGTGCTCCTGTTTTTTTTGTCTCGCATGTGTGTGTTTAGTGTCGTGAGAGTGTGGGTTTTGCTTTTATTTGTGTGTTTACTTTGTGGTTGTTTTGTGTTATATGAGTCATGGCTGTGCGTATATTGTGCTTTTGAGCATGTGGGTTTGTATACGAGTTTTTTTGTACGCTTTTTCTTTTTGTGTGTGTGTGTGTGTGGAACCCACCCAGCACCAGACGTCTTTTGGACATTTGATTTTGGAGCTAAATGTGGCCCGTTCGTTTTAGATTTGCCGTAATACAGGAGCATGTGGGTTTGTATACGAGTTTTTTTGTACGTTTTTTCTTTTTGTGTGTGTGTGTGGAACCCACCCAGCACCAGACGTCTTTTGGACATTTGATTTTGGAGCTAAATGTGGCCCGTTCGTTTTAGATTTGCCGTAATACAGAAAATTGTATTGTTGAAAATTGTGTTGCGTTTTGGTCGTCGAAATGCGTCCAAATAGTCATCGAAAATCGGCTAGTGTTATGTGTGTGTTTTTGCGTTGTATGGGCGCTCAGCGTCCGGGCCCGAAACAGTACACGCCGTACAATTTGTGCTTCTTGTCTGGGAATCCTAGAAAGCCGACGGCCGGTCGGGTGGGGCTGCAGCGTGGGCGGGGCCTGGCGACGGGGTAACGGACGCTGCCGTCGGCCAGCCAGCCGGCGTCGCAGCGGTCATAGCCGGACAGCTTCCAGGCGGCGTACATGTGGCCCACCGTGGCCATTCGGGCCCCGTCCCGCCTGCACGCCGCCGCTGCCTCGTCGTACGTCAACTTGGTCACGTGCGGCAGGAAGTAGAAATGACCTGCAAGGGAGGGGCCACGGCAAAAAAGTTGACTACAGTACCCCGTATGTTTTTCTTCCTCTTTTTCTTTCATTAATTAAACGGAATTTAATTTTAAAAAAATAGAATAAAATTAACTAATAATTTAAATCAATCTTTTAACGTGGGGCCCAAGGCATATCTCACCATTGTAGTGCGACGTGAAGCAGAAGACGTCGTAGTGGTTCATGTTTTTGTTCCTCAGGCCGTAGGTGCGCACGCCCGCCGGCGTGTTCTGGCCACCGCAGGGCTCCCTGGGGGAGGTAATGGGGTACTGCACGGAGCCGTCGCTCAGCCAGCCGGCGTTGCACCAGTCCATTCCCCCTCGCCAGGCCTCGCGCAGCTGCTGCGGGGACGCCACCACACCGTCCTGCTCCCGGCAGGCCCGCTCGGCGTCCTGGAAGTTGAAGTTGTAGCGCCCCAAGCGGGGCGAGTACGGGAACACCACCCCTAAAATATGTCAATTTTGTCATTTTCACGACTCTTGAAGAATGTTATAAAAATTCAGCCCCTGAAACCAATTCGACGTGGCAACATGAGATTTCCACGGCCAAAGTGAGCAACTCACCTTCCAGGTCGAGCGACACGACCACCGTGGCGTCCTCCAGGCCGTCGATGACCTCACATTTATATCTCCCGTAATCGTCCAGGGTGATGTCTTCGATAACCAGCGAGGCGTCCGAGGGGGAGGAGCCACACAGGTGCACTCGGCCGTGGTAACTTCCATAGCTTCTCTTGTGGTAATCCATGGCAGCCAAAACATCCACCTGCCGTCAACAAACGTGATGGTTACGTGACCGACCGTGACAAGCCACAAACATAATCCATGGCAGCCAAAACATCCACCTGCCGTCAAACATGATGGTTACGTGACCGACCGTGACTAGAAAGCGGGTCGCTACAGAGAGACGGGAAGAGTCACAGATAGGCAAAGTGGCATTTGGCAACACATGAACCTCTGTCAGCAAGTCGAAGGTCAGCTTGGTCCACTTGATCCTCATCTTTCGATTGGGCGCCAGCGACTGGTCCCGGTGGATGGTGCAGGGTAAGGTGGCGTTGCCGCCGCTCCGCGACAACACTCGGGAAGGATGTGACGTCACTGACAACCCGTGCCCGTTTTCTACCATGCACAAATATACAATTTGTACACATTCTTGTGTTAGTTCGGTGGCATAATCAAGCCTTAAGTACGCCTTCGCCCCCTGGTGGTTAGCTGACTACTGCTCGATTCCATGCGCAAATCATGATTTCGATTCAAATTGAATTAACCATACAGCCCTCGTTTGACATTTCTTTCCAGTACTCTTTTTCTTGATGTTAAAAAAAAAAAAGTTGTTGCTTTGAACTTTGACTCCTTCATTTGGTTAGCAACGTTTAAAAAAAATTCATAATTCAGATTCATTCGACCATCGCCCTCTTATCTGAACACCAGCATTCATGCAATTCATTTCTTTTCTCAGGGTAAAGTTAATTTCGGGAGTGTTTGAAATGTTGAACCAGAGCTTCATCGAGTGATAAGATAAGCGCGCTGGCTCCCCACTTAGCGCGTTTATCGGCATGCCGGCTGATAACGTGCAAACTAAGACATCGCGCAGGAACGCGTCAAAGCCGACTCAGAAATGGCTTACCTGTCTCTTGCAAGTTTCGGGAAACTTCCAGCTCAGAATGAAATGATTTGAAGCTGTCGGCCGCGTCGAGCGACATCAAGGCAAACATCAGCCCGGGAATCGCACCAATCATCTTTGCCACTCGCAGATTTCGTTCACTGCAAAAATAATCAAGTCAAAGTTTCATGGAGTTGGCTGTCCCCAAAAAAACATTTGCTTTCTGTATTTTTTTTTCACGTGTTCTATAGGTGGCTGCTGGTGGCTTGTGCAGCCAACTGGTCGAGGGCGCACTTGAATGCTAATTGCAAGCTACCACTCTGCGTTCCCGCCGTTAAAACGCAAGATGCTTTTCGAGTAAACAGCAAACAATCCCCCGTTCACAAATTCAACAAGGATTCGTAAGAAAAACAAAAATGCTAATTGCAAGCTACCACTCTGCGTTCCCGCCGTTAAAACGCAAGATGCTTTTCGAGTAAACAGCAAACGATCTCCCGTTCACGTTCACAACTTCAACAACGATTCGTAAGAAAAACAAGCAAGTTATTTACTCTTTCTGTGACGCCCTTTGGGAGTATTTGTGCATCGCTTGGTCAAAGATGGCATAAAATGGCAGGAAACAAGAAAGTAGCAATCGGGTATTTTGAGATTCGTAAGAAAAACAAACAAGTTATTTACTCTTTCTGTGACGCCCTTTGGGAGTATTTGTGCATCGCTTGGTCAAAGATGACATAAAATGGCGGGAAACAAGAAAGTACCAATCGGGTATTTTGTATGTGAGTGGTTTCCTCTCTTGGTGGTTGCATTGAATGACTCTGGCTAATTTTTTCTTGACATATTCAAATTCAAATTTTGAATCCTAAAATGAATTTATTAAGAATTGCGCTTGAAATTTTCGCCCATTCGTCTGCCCAAAACCAGCTGATAAGGTTTGTCGCCCCCCTATGGTCATGCCAAACATCACCACTAATGTAAGAAGTCCAAATCAGACGTCCCTGAAGGAACTTCGTCGTCACGTCAAGCCCACACGGATGCAAAGGTGGCACAGACACGCACACACCAAATAACACACACAAGAAGACATTGTGAAAGAGAACACAATTCCAAAATTCAGAAGAGACACACACAGGCACATACACGAAAGCACAAAAATACAAAAACTATCTCCCACACAATTCAAACACACGCAGGAGCACACAAACTCTCACACAAAAACACAAAAACGCGCAACCATGCTAGCACACGAGCGAAAAAGACATCGAGGAGGACAAAAAACGCAAACACAAACAAAGCAAAACCATGCTAACACACAAACAAAAAACACAAAGATAACAAACGTGTGGGTTTGTGAACACGGGGTTTTATTTTCTTTTCTTTTTAACGTCGGCACTTGTCATGAATGTTTGCTACTGATGTTGAGTCATGGGTGAGTTGGATTTGTGCGCGCGAATTACTTTTTGCTGATGTGCTCCTGCTGCTGCCAGTCGGACACACTGACATCAGCACAAACACTGCACTGCGCACTCACGCTCACACACACACACACACACACACACACACACACACACACACACACACACACACACACACACACACACATAATAACAATACTTAGTCATTTTCAGTGTGAACTGAAGCTGTCCTTTGAAGAGGTCACAATGTATGGGAAAAGGTTTGTGTGGTGGGGGTGCAACGATGACATCATCAGTGTGTGCGCGTGACACGCACACACAAGGACTACTCATCGTCCATTTGTGCAGAGGTAATCTTCACAACACTAGCGTGTGTGTGTGTGTGTGTGTGTGTGTGTGTGCGTGTGTGCGTGTGTGTGTGCGCGCGTGTGTGCGTGTCCTTATGTGAGTGTTGAAGGTTGTGTTCATCGCTGAGAAACGCCCTCTGCGCGATAACTACACTAACACACTCGCGGAGGTCCACTGAAAGATGACACAACTCGTAAGGCAACCCTCTTGCAGTAACACGGCAACATTTACAAGACGTAAGACAATAACCTCGACGACGGCACGAAAGTGCCGCGCTAAAACAACAACCTCTTTAGTGTGACACAATAACAACGACGACAGCACGAAAGTGCCGCGCTAAAACAACAACCTCTTTAGTGTGACACAACAACGCGATTGTGCGTTTTTACAGGCTGACAGGAAAACCGACCGAAGGGTTTCCTCTCCTTATTTGGTTTCTTTTCTTCTTCTTTACTTTGTTTACTTTAAGGTTTCTTCAAGTCAGTGCTCTTAGTGGCAAACGTAAACTTGCGTCGTTGGCCGTTTGTGTGTGCGCACGCGTATGTGACCGCGTAAATGTGTGTTACATATTATTGTGTGCGCGCGCGCGCGCGTGTGTGTGTGTGTGTGTGTGTGTGTGTGTGTGCGTGTGTGTGTGTTTGTGTGTGTGTGTATGATTACATGCGCGTGTATGTAATTAGATTGTGTGCGCGTGACAGTGTGTGTATGGACATAAATTTATGTGAATGTGTGTTAGGTAAACATATGTTGTGTGTTACACACAGCGTGACACTGACGCCGATTCAGTGAAAAAGCAGCCGAACAGAAAAATTCTCGTCTGTTTGTACGTTAAGACTTTCATTAGAGGCAACAACTTGATTTGGTTGAATATGTTGCTATTTAAAATTCCAAACAATGACATCACACAAGGTTGTGATGTCACAGGAAATCGCTGGAAAAAATGGACACCTGCTCTAAGCCCTCAAACTATTTCCACATCAGTCACAAATAGTCACCAGGGCGTGTGTGTGTGTGTGTGTGTGTGTGTGTGTATGTGTGTGTGTGTGTGTGTGTGAGTGCGTCTCTTCGGTGGTGGCTTCCGAGCGGCACAAAGACACCTCAGGTGAGCGGCAGCCAATCAGGAAGCAAACGCCTGGCCTTCGAGTAATGTGACATCACCAACAAAGAACGAACGTTAAAGGTGGGAAGAACCTCAGCACATGGACCACATTCATGTCAGCGTAATCCACATGGTTTACTCCTCTTCCTGTTTGAACTCACGATGACCTTCAGTCAGACTGGACCAGATTAGGTTGCCTTGAAGAGATCTGAAATGAGCTCAGGAGGATTGGAATGGAGTGAACTGGATGAGAATGAACTCAATAGGACAAGAAATGAACTTGACCAGACAAAAGAAGATGAGGATGGACTGAATTGAAGCGGACTAGACTGGACTGCAGTCAACGAAATCGGACTGCAATGAACTGGATGAGACAGAATTTGACTGGACTAGACTGGATTGAACTAGAATAGACTAGACTGGACTAATTGGAGGTTATTGGACTGAACTCCACCAGAATAGATTAGATTGCAGGAAACTGATCTGGATTTCACTGGACTGGACTGAAAAACTGAACTTGACTAGACTGGACGAAAATGAATTCGACTGGATCTGACTGCACTGAATAGAAGCGAACTAATTTGAACCGGAACAAACTGCACCAAACTGAGTCCACATCTACGACGACACTCCAAAAGTGTGACATCAGCATTAGGGCTAGCAAGGGAGGCTAAATCAACTAGCCACCACCTCGACCATTGATGAACCCTCCCTGCAGTGCCGCCAATGGCTGCCCTCGGTGATGTCACAGTAGTCACGTGACGCAGGCTCAGCCTCTGCGTGCTGACATGTGGAAACAGCTGGAAGAAAGGCTGCGTTGGTTCATGCAAGCTGAGCCAGGTCAAACGGGAGGTGGGTCGGCTGTGCACGCGCACACACACAAACACACACATGCAGGTTACACAAACGTTCTTTCGTGATGTGGATAAAACGTCTCCAATGTTCCTCAGAAGAGAGAAAAGAAAACACTTTCCACCTGTTGTTTCCTGCACGCGGCAATTACACAAAGTCAATCGGGCTAGTGTGTGTGTTACGGACGGAAACGGGGTGGGGGCTAGGGTGGAGCCACAAAGTCTCGGGGCAGTATACAGAGACTTCTTGTTGCCTGTCAAGAACTCTCACTTGACTTCTTCAAGTTTCATGTACTCCATTGCTACTCTTCCATCTTCTTCCGAAACATCCCCATGTCTAAATTGTGATGATGTCTCCAATTTTACAGTGTTGTCCTAAAACTCAGACGTTGCCAGAAAAGTTGTTTTCCCGAAATTGCAATGTCTCAAAATTCTGACGATCTCTATAAATTCCGATAATGAATTTTGATGCCGCCTCAAAAGTGTTTGTTGTTATCTTTGCCTCCGATTGATAAATTGCCCGTAAATTCCGATATTCTGTCCAAACGGCGACATCGTCAAAATATGACGATCTCCCTAAATTCTGACGTTGCCTCTGAATTTTGACATTGCCTCAAAATTGCGACACTATCTACGAATTTCAACGTTGCATCTGAATCTCGATATTGTCTGAAAATTCCGATAATCTCTCCAAATGCTCAAGTTTTCTCTTATCAGTTTTGTGACGCACCTTCGTTCTTTTTCAGCCAACTGATCGTGACATTTTTTCCTAAATTCAGATCTTCCTTCTAAGTGACGATGATTGCCTGAAATACAGATTTAAATCTCGATGTTACCCGTGAATTTTGATGATGAGTCAGCATGACCACGGAAAGCACGGCATTTCCCAAACGCGGTTAATAACAAACGACATTGACATTCAAGATGCGAAATGGCCGTTAGAAAATGTGAATTAGCGAACAAAAATTTCTGATACTTCTAAAAACAGCAGTCAGATGACCCAAAAGGGGCCCGCGGCCCCATGAAGCCCCCACATCTCTATACACGGCCCTGCACGCGCAAGTCAAACTAAACGACGCACACCAAAAATCGGAATACTTTGCCATTTGATTCATTTTGAGTGACAGCAATCAAAAATATGGAAGCAACGCTTACATGAACTGTCACGACAACTTTGGTCTGAAGGTTTACCACCATCGCTGAGTTCATGAGTCATCTCTTTGTGACACATGTCGATCAATGCATTAAAGCGCCGGTTCTGTTCTATCTACATCTGTTCCCCCCCCCCCCCCCACACACACACACACACAGTCAGAGGTTGTTGTCAAGTCAGCATCAAATAAAGTAATGAAACTGCCCAATTTTTTTTTTTTTTTTTGGTTACCTGGGGAGTGCGTGAAGAACCTGCAGCTTCCTCTCTGGTGGCCAAGACGCGACTGAATGCCAAGCCAGTGAGGCGCAGATGGGAGGGGGGGAGGAGAAAGAGCTGGAGGAGGAGAGTGAGAGGGTGGGGGTAGCTGCAAACACAGTGAAGGTGTGCAAATGGACTCAGCATTATGACAGCGTTTTATTACGTTACAAAGAAGTTGACTAATGAGAGTTTTGGGGTTTCTGGGTGGGTCATCAAACTTCAGCATCCTACTCCGACCACACACAGTCACAAAAACCCTGATTTCTTCAATTTATCGTCACCCGCCTCTCTTATATGGTTGACGTTTGGTCCCAATTGCACATCATCTCTACAAAGAAGTTGACTAATGAGAGTTTTGGGGTTTCTGAGCGGGTCATCAAACTTCACCATCCTACTCCGACCACACACAGTAACAAAAACCCTGAATTCTTCAATTTATCGTCACCCGCCTCTCTTATATGGTTGACGTTTCGTCCCAATTGCACAGAATCTCTTTCTTTTTCTATCTTTGATGTTTTTGAAAGTCTACAATCAGCCACTGGGCAGATTGGAAGCAAAATGGCAGATTTTTTTTTTTGTCTTTTAGGGGCAAAGCTTCGACACATGATAGGCATGTCTACTCATTTTCATGTTGCTAAGTCATACTGGCTTTGGGGATTTTTTGTTATCAGAATCTCTTTCTTTTTCTATCTTTGATGTTTTTGAAAGTCTACAATCAGCCAATGAGCAGATTGGAAGCAAAATGGCAGATTTTTTTTTTTTTTTTTTTTTTTTTTGTCTTTTAGGGGCAAAGCTTCTTGAAACGTTTTTACGGTCTACACATGATAGACATGTCTACTCATTTTCATGTTACTAAGTTATACTGGCTTTTTATTTATTTTTTTAATTGTGGGACCAATTCATTTTTGAAGAACCCCTCGAACTGTCCAAATTGGCCCGGCACTTTAGGTGATTTCAGTTAAATGATTAAAAAAAAAAAAAAAATCTGAAGAGCTGTCAATAGGTTCCAAAAAATAAAAATAAAAGATTGGGGGGTGTCAACTGTGTTGAAAGGCAATAATTTGACATATGCATTATAACGATAAAAGCCGAAGAGCAAGGATAAAAAAAAAAAAAATCTGAAGAGCTGTCAATAGGTTCCAAAAAATAAAAATAAAAGCTTGGGAGGTGTTAACTGTGTTGTAAAGCAGCAATTTGACATATGCATTATAATGATAAAAGCCGAAGAGCCCAAATGAAAAAAAGATAAACATGTCAAGTCGTCGTCATGCTTGAACAAAATCAACAACGCTGCTATCAGACAAACGTAAAAAACAAATGAGGCCTTGCTTGTTCAGTGACCTTAACAGCAGAAGGTCAAGTCAGCAGTTTTGAAAAAGGTCAGCTATCGGGAGGCCATCTTGGATTTAACGACGGCGAGCCTCTCAAACGAAGGCACGACGACACACGTGCACTGCTCGCAACAAGGTCAACCAGGGTGGAGCACCCGCTAGAATAAAACAGAACAGGACAACAAGTAACGGAATAAAACAAGGAAAGAATAAAATGAGGGACGAGAAAACAAAATCAAATACGCTTAGAAATGCATGTTGAAAAAAGAAGCGAATAGAAGGAGCCATAAGTTCCAAACAGAGCCAAAAGGGCCGCCGATGGAGCACAGTAGAAGTTTGTGGAAGCACAAAGACCACGTTGTCACCTTTCGACACATTTGATTTGTTTTTGTTACGTGTGCGCATGTGTGTGTGTGTGTGTGTGTGTGTGTGTGTGTGTGTAGACAGGGGGTCTTTGTGCACACTCAGGGTGGAGTTTGGTAAGGAAGGATACAAGCACACACACCCAATAACTAAAAGGTATGTTTCATTTGTGAATAATTGGAATTAGTTTGGATTTTAATCAGTTTGTCATGTTTCTACGTCAAGTGTGAGCTTAGCGGGCGAGTTGTTGGCATACGGTATACGCTAAAGTGCGGATAGCACGCATGTAGGTAAAGAACAGCAAGCAGAAAATAATTTGTTGCTTCACGCTGAGGAAAACATTGTGAGCTAACGATGCACGTTAATGCTAAGGAAGTTTGGAATGCTAATATTAGCTTCCAATGTTAGCTTCAGGGCAAACTTTTAACATTAGAGTAGAGTGACAAAACGTCCTCTTTTGCCCGGACATGTCTACATGTTTATACCCTGTCCGGGGTGTCCGGGCAAGTTTTTATAAATTCATGAAAATGTTACCGGGATGTGTGACGAAGAAACTGGCTGGGGAAGAACCCGGAAAAGAAGGCAGCGGTAGTTAGGAAAAGTGTGTGTGGAGCAGGTACCCTCAGTGACAAGCGTGACTGCCATAAAAAAAGTGTTTTCTGCTAAAATGGGATGGAATGAAGCTCCAGTTGAAAAAGCAAACAAGATGACATCCCTTTAATTCGCCTGTGTTTCATCGCTGTGGTTGAAGTCACTGGACCGAGTAGTGCGTGAGTGAAGACATAGGTCGACTGAAACTAGGCACTGCTGGCTTTATTTTGTTCTTGTTCATTTTCTTGTAAAAAAAAACGACTTAGCATTGTTTTTCTGAAATATGTTTTGGGGCTATGAAATGTTGAGCAACATTTGCGTCACCAAAACACACATGTGCAAAAATCGATCCCACCCCGGCACTTTATAAACCGCTTGAGTGCACCCCAGGGAGCTCGTCCTTCATCTTGGGCGTGCGTGTCAATGTGTTTTGTGTTACAGTTGTGTGCCAATTTTTAAAAAGCCCTGAAATAATCACTTATCATTATTAGCAATCCTCAAGTTTTGACTTTTATCAGCACAAAGATAGTCTGGGTGACGCTCTGGAAACAGGAAGTGAGTGACAAGCGGCGAGACTTTGAGTCTTTCCTGAGCTGTCCCTTCCTGCAACTATCTGGGGACACACGCATGCGACGGAGGTGATAAGCGTCCGTGGGAACGTCATCCCAGTAGAAATCCACAACAATGATCGAGATCAATGCAAGGCCGTTCCATCCGTGTGTGTGTGTGTGTGTGTGTGTGTGTGTGTGTGTGCGCGCGCGCGCGCGGCTGAGGCACTCGTGGGGCTAAGAATATAGC